TGCTTGGTGTTGGCTGTTGGCGCTGTGCGGCGATTCGTTGTGTGGAGGGCCGAGCCTTCCATACGCGTGCGGTCGGTGGGCTGCCGCCTTTTCGTCATTCTGCGCTCTCTCTCTCTCTCTCTCTCTCTCTCTTGCGCTCTTTGCTACCACTACCTCTTTCACCCATCTTGCTCCTTCCTTCTTCCTCGCTGCCTGCCAGCTCAGCTCACCGACTCCAGCGACTCTACTGCTGTTTCTACTGCTGCTGATAACACTGCCACGGATGGCGTTGGTGACGTTGTAGCTGCATCTGGTGTCCGCCCTTGTGGTGCTGCTCTGCGGTTGGTTTTTCTGGGTTGAAGGGCGGCGGAGGAGAGGAAGGTAAAGGTGATTGTGGTTGTGCAGATACAGGTGTTGTGGCCGGGTACTGTGAACCGGTTTTAGTGGCTTATTTTAAGCGGAGGTGATTATAACTGGAACACGTTTCTTAAGACCTCAAGAAGTGTTCCTTCTGTAAGTGTCCAAGATGGATTCAGTGGTTCTATCTGCACCTCGGCGGCATTGCTGTTGAAAGAAAACTTCATTAAGGGGAAATGCCCTACATACCAAGCAATGATGTTTGTTATTACGGCGTTTGTGATGGATTGTACGATGAGTGAAAATAGTGCACTGCATTATTTGTTGAATGGCGAAACTGGCACGCTCACTGAATCTGGTGTTTATGATGTGACATGCGGGTGTAAGTTGCCAAATTCCCGCGAAGAGGAAGATGCAAAAGGAAAGAATGATGTAGTTGAAGACAATGGAGAGGAAGAAGAAGACGAGGGGATGCTGATGAAACGTCTGGGCTTCAAAGTGAAGGAGCACCACAACTACAAATAGCGCCCTCTTCGGTAGAAAGTTTACCAGAAGGCGAAACGCATGGACCCGGTGCGGCGCAAGCACCCTCAACCTCTGCACGGCCATCTGATGCGCCCACTTCCAACACTCCCGCGGGCGTCATTGATGGAGGCACTACCTCCACAATCACAGCCACAACCACCAGCAGCCTCACTGGTGGGAAATACACAAAAGTCAACGTGGAGAGCAGTGACGCCGCCGCTGCGTGGGTGCGTGCCACGCTGCTGCTGCTGCTGAAGGCCTCCGTTGCCTGTGCTGCGGGGGAGTGACTGCTGCGGGGCAACGACACACACACATACCCTGGCAGGGTGACGTCATACTTTTTGTGCGCTCAGTTTGCTTGTTTTTTATGTGGGCCAATGTCTCTTTTTTGTGCTCTGTGGGATTATTATTTATTTATTTATTTTTTGATTTAACGGTCGTTTGCTACGCACATCCCAATGGGTGGTGCCCCTTCTCCACTTTGCCGTTGCCATCAACACACGCATGCTGCCGGCCTTGTGGCTGTGCGTTGCACGGACCGCCCAAACGAGGCACGAGTCCACGGACATCGTGAGGGGCAGTCGTGATGTGTGCATCTGACTGTGCTATCAGGCAGTTGTTTTTGTTTGTTTCTTGCAGGCAATATATATAAATATGCACGCAGTCTTCTTGGGCTTCTGGACACGTGAAAGAAAAAGCACACATTCCGAAGTAATTTTGTTTCTTTCCCCCCTTGGTTTTGTTGGGCCTCGGTTTTTTTTGTTTTTGTTGGGGGTAAATCACTACGGCTCACTGTTAGTTTGTGCTGTGTTCGCCACTATCACTGCGTATATCCTTGTTTTGTTTACTCCCGCTGCTGGCTGTGTGGATGGCTTGTTCTCCGCGTCTGTTTGCACTCGCACAATGAGGGTGTTGTGCTGCAGCTGCGCCGTGCCGCTTGCTGCTGTGGTGTGTGCGGGGATCTTTTGTTGTGCTTTTCGCCCCACAAGTGTGTGTGTGAGGGTTGAGTTCTTGTTGCATTGGGAGCCGGTGGGTCGTGTTCCGGTGGCTACCACCGGGGCTGCAGAGTCAGATGGTGCAGGTCACTCTGCGACGTTTAGACGCTCCGCAGGTGGGGGGTTGGTGTCGTTTTTATTTGCATTTTTAATTGTCGCTCTAGAAACTTTTTTTTTGTTTGTTTTCTATTTTGTCTTCCCTCCCGATTGTCTTTGCTCCCGCTTCGCTATTTATGTGACGCGGGGGTAGAAACACGAAAGTCACTGGCGCTGCGGCTGTGCGGAAGGTACGGAAAGGAACAGCACCAGAAAAAAAGGGGAACTCTGCTCCCGAGGGTGAGGCGCAAGGCGGGCCCCAGGACACTGAGCTGAGGAACGCAGGAGGAGTAGGAAGCAGAAGAATAATCGTAGGCGAAAGTGCTGTCCACGGCTGTGACGTCCTCCACGGGTTGGCGGGTGCTGTGACGCCCGTATACTGTGTCCTTTGGGAATGCATCACGCTGTGCACGATGCGGCCGCGGTGTACGCCGGTCACCGTAACCACGGCGGCGCAGGGGCAAATGGAACGTCGGGAACTGTCGTCCGGCCCTTGAGCCCTGAGGTAAGCGACTTGCTTCGGGAGCAAATGGAGTTTTTGGCGAGCGCCCATGTCAGCGACATCCGTGCCGCACTGTTTTTGCGGCTGAGGCTAAGCGCACAGCAGAAGCTGATGGCGCAGCGAAACCGGTTCTCCGAGCGTCGGGCCCTGCAGAGCAAGCGATGGCCGACCGCCGTGCACTCAACCGCTACGGAGGTGGCCAGTGCAGCGAGATCTCCGGAGCCTGTTAAGCCGCACCCTGCAGCGGCGGAGGAGGTGGAATGTGAAGAAGGGTGGCGCTGCCCTGGCTGTTCACGCCGCTACACAGATGCAGACGCCTACACGCGCCACAGAAACAACTGCAAAAAATATGTATTGCTTGTAAAAAGGCAGGGTGGCGTGACGGTGCCTCCGTCTTCGCGTTCTACCCAGCCTGCAGCAACCACTTTCTCACCGCTGCTCAACTCCATTGGCTCAACCTTCAAGTCGGAACTGGAAGTGACGCAAAGATGGCTCGAAGCTGCGGCGAGTGCATCTACGCGCGCCACGGTGACCACCGCTCGCTACACACCGTCTACCAGCAATGCACCCGGTATACCACCTGCCCAACAGGCGCAGCGTCACGCGGCTGCAGAAGGCAACACCGTCGCTCCTCTTCTGCCTTCAGCACTAATAGAAAGTCAAAGTACCAACCACTCGCTTCTAATCCCCTGCTTTTCTGCGGTGGACGAGCGGAGAGAGGACAGGCGCGAGTTTGCTCAAAGTCCCTCCCTCTCGCGGGAGCTAACGCCTTCCTCCTTTGGGATGCAGTCGCTGCATAAGATGTCACCCAGCGTCAAAAATTCCATTGACGATGTCCCTGCAGCTGTCGCGGATCGGGCGTCGTTCGACAGTGTCTCACCCCTGCCTGTGTGGTTTTCACCCAGCAATACCGTAAAATCCAGGGACAACGGGGCGAGCTTGCATCAGTCAACCCTCTCCTGCAACCAGAATAGCGTGATGTACAACAGTGCCACTGGCAGTGGCACCAACTGGGGGGAGACGGAGGGCGCTGACGAGCCACTGCGGCCCTGTCCGTACTGTGGGCGACGTTTTTTTTCGGAGTCGCGCTGGCCGCGTCACGTGGCGGTTTGTGAGCAACAGCAGCAGCAGCAGCGTAAAAACAACAGTCAAGCTTCGGTCGCGCGTAGTTCACTTGGTACCCGTTCCCTGCGCCCATCTCGTGTTATTGCCAGCGGGAGCCTGAACTCTAGCACCATCATTCGGGGCAACTCGCAACCGCTGGCTTCGAGCAGAGAAAAGCCTGGGAACGCCAAGAGTTCTGCTTCGGGGAAACCGGCCACCAAGTGGCGTCAGCAGCGTGCACAGCTTCGACAGGCTCTGCAGCTGCCCAGCACCTCCTCTCAAGATACCCCTCCCAACGGTGGGGGCACCACGGATGTGTTTGAGGACGACCGTGTGTTTTGTCCTTCCTGCGGTCGTCGCTTTGCCCCAGCAACGGCTGAGCGGCACATACCATTCTGCAGAGAACGTGGCAGCGGGCAGAAAGTGACGCGCATCTGAGGCGCAAGAGGAGGCGAGAAGGAAAAGGAGAACAATGGTGGTGTACTACGAGAGTAAAACTCAAAGAAAACAATGTGAAACAGCGAGGACGATGCACGAATTAAGCAGCAAAATTCAGTGTGTACACACGTACCCGCACAAATGGAACGGGATGGGGTGGGGAAACGGGGATGGTTTGTCGTTGTTTTTGTTGTCATCATTCTTCTGAAGCAGAATGAAGGGGCCAGCAGTAGGAATTAAACAACATATGCACCAGTACACACACACACGCGCATTCGGCATCTACACATGCGATGGAACTTGTGCGGTGATGATTCTCATGCGTAATGCGATACACTAATGTGTGTCTGCGGCTGGGCGTTTGTATACTATACTCTCGCTGGTGAGGCCCATGCCGAAGGCAAGGGCGGGATATGTCTATCTACCTATAGATATATATACATATATATATGTGACTTCAGAGATTGACATTTTTCAGTGGAAGCAAAGTGAAAGGAAAATGAAAAGGAAATAATAAAAAAGCAAAAACAAAAAAGAATTGGGGGTGACGGAGGAACTTTAAGCATGGAGTTGGGCGAAAAGGAAACAATATGTTTGGACCGATGTGCTGATGCGTGTCCTTTGTAATGTGGCAACCACAGTCCCTGTAGGGCCGAAATTTAAACAAAAAAAAGGGGGGGACTGGAGCCTCCGTTCGTTTGTGTTTTGTCTGTGTGTCGTGTACTTTGCTTTCACCCTCTCTGTTGTTGTTGTTATTTGGGCAATGCGGCGGTGCATGGGTGTGGCAGTGCTTTAATGAATGCACCGTGTGGTTTCTTCCTGCGGCATGTGGGTTTACGACATCCCCGTTCGCGTGTGTTTTTATTTATTTCCCTCCTTCTTGCCGCTTGTACTTTGCTGTGCGTGTTGGGTGTCGGTGGATCTGCCGTGCACGTGACTGTCAATCGCCACGCAGAAGCATTAATCAAAAAAAAAAGGAAAACGATTATAATTCACCACGTAACAAAGCCACACACGCTACGCCACACGAAAGGAACAAGGCAGTCGCAAGAGGAAGAAGAATAATAACAACAAAAGGCAGGAGGAATAAGAAACCAGCCAACGATGTCGCAACTATCTTCTATGCTTGGCACCCACAAGGCTGTCATGTTCTCCTGGGTGTCGTGTCCCTACTGCGTCCGTGCGGAGAAGCTGCTGCGTCCCATGACGAACGATTTAAAGATCTACCACGTGGACCAAATGAGCGAGGGCGAGGCGCTGCAGAAGGAAATTTACGAGAAGTATAAGCATGAAACCGTCCCCGCCATCTTCATCAATGGGAAGTTTGTTGGCGGCTGCAGCGACTTGGAGCAGCTCGACCATGAGGGCCGTCTTGCCCCGCTACTTGCCTGATTGAAAGAAAAAAAAAGGGGGGTAACATTGCATAATAACTTAAAAAGGGAGAAATGAAGAATGGACTATTTCATGGCGCGCTTCAAAGCGCGAAGGGAGAGGGGGGGGAGGAGGAACACATGAAAAAAAAAAAAAATCCAAACTACCGACGGGGCTGGTATTTACAATGAATTGGGATTTGAGTAATGAAATAAGGAAGATAAATGTGGAGCTTTTTGTTGGGTTGTGCAATCATCACATCTTTGCTGTGATGTGGTTTTTGTGGATCCCTCTCGCTCTCTCTGTGGTGGGGGGAGATGGAAAAGGGTCATGCGTCTCCTGCTGCTTTCGTTACGCGTGTTGCTGCTGTTTCCCACTATTTTTTTTTGTGGGTGTCACGTGTTTGCTTCGCTCCTCGCGCGCGCCGCACCCACGCAGCATCGTCTCGTTTCTCACGCAGTCACAGACAGGGATGTTAGTGAATGACTATGTTGTGGAGGAGCGCATGAGCGTGTGGCAGAAAAAGAAGGTGCGCACGTACATTGTGAATGGGCACTCGAAGGTGTCTTCCCGGCGCTCCATTGCGGGTGCCCTCACCGTGGTGAAGCCCTACGAGCGCATTGAACTCGTGGGCGGGGAGTACTTTGAGTCCCTTTCCATCAGCATGCCGCTGGAGATTGTCGCTGCAGAAGGCGAAGAACCCTGCATCATTTCCCGCGGCCCCTGTCTGACTGTGACGCAAGATGTGGAGGTATACTTTGAGCACGTGGAGTTTGTCTCAAAGAACAAAACGAAGTTGGAGTCGGCGGTCGCTCTTACGAACGGCAAAGCGGTCTTTTTTCGGTGCAAGATGAACTCCATTATCATCAACGGGTTTGCGAGGCCGGTGCTGGACAACTGCACCATCGCCGAAAGCTACAACGGCTACGGGGTTCAGATCGGCGGCAGCGGGGGGGCGCAGATTTATGGCTGCACCATCCATGCCCACTACGCAGCCGGCGTGGAGATTGACACCAAAGGCACCGTCGTCATCCGGGACAGTACAATCCGCCAACCCTTGAATGGGGGTCACGGCGTGATAGTGCAGACAACGCAAAGCGCTGTGGACGATCGTACCCCTATAGAAAACCTCGCATGTAGGAAAGTCACCGTCACCAAGTGCCGCATCTACCTCTCACCGGAGAAGTTCAGGCCAAAAGAGCGTGACTGGGGCGGGAATGAAAAAATTGTTGGACCCCCGAGTTGCGTGGTCATCGCGCGAGGTGCATGCCCTGTGTTCACGTACAATGAAATAATTGAAGGTTATGTTGGTTTTACCTTTGAGTTTTCGGGTGACGCCGTGTTGGAGGGGAACTCCATATGCAATCAAAAACACTGCGGCATTCTTGTCATCGTGGACGAACGAAGTTACTCATCTAATATAAAGCAAAATGTTCGCATAACAGGCGGCAATGTGATTGATCGCTGCCTTATTGGGGTAGACATACGCTGCATGGGCAAGGTTAGGACGCCTGTTAGCGACGCACCGGACACACTCCTCTCCCAGGAACTTCCATGTTCCCGGAACGTGTTTGATTGGATTGAAAAGGTACACCAGCTGGAGGAGTCAAACTCCTCCACGCTGCATATTGCCGGGGAGGAAACCCCAGTTTTTGTCAACGGGCGTACTATGGAGCTTGCAAGGTTGAAGGAGGATTTGCGAACACTTGCCAAATTAGTCTGTGCGGGGCATCCCTCTCATTTTTACGGTGGGGGTTCCACAGACATGCGTGCTGGGAACACTGGGGGTAATCCAGTGCAAGAGTTGGTGCAGGAGGCCTTCCAGCTGCCGCTGTCGCTGCCGCCGCCAAACTCCATAGACTACGTGGCGCGCTGGCTGCAAATTCGTGGTAACAAGGGTGTGGATATCTTGGACACCCGTTTCTCTGGATGTGGGTTGTGTGCTATTCGCTTTGGACACGGCGGTTATGGACTTGTTGAGGACTGCGACTTCCTCAATTGTGGGGCTACTGCGATTGTCGTGAGTGGTGGGGCCCATCCGTTGATTGTGGGGTGCAAGTTTAACAACTCCAAGGGAACTGGCGTGTTTGTGGAAAACTTTGCCAATCCGCTCATAATGGGCAATGAAATCTCGCAGAGCGCCGAGCATGGCATTGAGTTTTGCAACCTGTCCCGTGGAATTGTAATGGGGAATATTATCTTTGGCAACTCCGAGAGCGGGATCCTTGTGACAGGTGGCAGCACCACGATGATCGTTGGCAATCTTATTCAGCAGGGCCACACCAGCGGAGCGATGATCGCGGGTGAAAGCAAGCCGCTACTCATGATGAATAAATTTGTGTCTAACCCCGTTGCTCAGCTGCTGGTGTGCGAATACTCCATGCCGTTTATTGCCGGCAATACCTTTGCCTCTGGGCCCGGCTGCGGCATTCGCTTTGAGTCCTGCAGTGGAGGGATGGTGGTGGGCAACACGCTCTCCCGAAACGAGCGGGGAATTGTGGTGGAACTTGACTCGGACCCGTACTTGGTGTCGAATAAAATTCTCCAGAGTCACCGCCACGGAGTTGTGGTGGGCAACAACGGCCTGGGCACGTTTGTGGCAAACGAAATCGCGCAGAGTGGGAGTTGCAATTTTATTGTGCAAGAAGGCGGGTCACCCGTGGTACGCAACAACACAATTACCGGTGGGCATGTTGGCGGTATTGCCGTGATCGCTGAGGGGGGTGGGATAATGGAGCACAACGTCATTAGTGAAAATGCGGTGGGGAACGTTATTTTGTTGGACCGCTTCAGTGAGCCCGTCATTGTACGCAACACCATCACAAACTCCACCAGTGGTTGTGGTGTTATTTGTGGTCGCGGAGCCTCAGGAGCGTTTCTGCATAACAAGGTTTACAAAAACAAACAATGTGGAGTTTACGTGATTAGCAAAGCCGATCCACTTTTTCTCAACAACGTTATTAGCTATGAATCGGTGGGTGTCGTTATCTCTGAATGTGGCAGAGGGACCTTTAAGGCAAACAACATTCATGCAAGCTACGGGTCCGGCATCATTATTCAGCTCCAAGGCAATCCAGTCATTAAGGGGAACAATGTTTCTGGCAGCTTCCTCAGCGGCATTGTGGTGTCACCTGAGAGCAGTGGGACGGTTACGGAGAACAACTTCTTTGAGAACGACGTGGGCGTGCAGCTTGGTTCCACCTTGGGGACTGCCACGCTCGATATTGAGATTGGCTTCCTGACTACCGCCTCCGCAACGCCGTCGTCGCCGTCTTTGAGTCCTCTCAACAACAGGGGCCCGCTGAAGTACCAGCGTTCAACTTCAGTCAGGAAGGGGGGCGAGCCTGGGGACGGGAGTGACAAGCTATCCCCAACCATGATACGGCAGAACAAAATTTATGCGAATACAATGTGTGGGGTATTACTGGAGGCGGCGGCCTACGGGGCACTAGAGGAAAATGAGATTGAGTCGAACGGTAACTGTGGCGTGGTGGCGGATGTCGGGTATACTGCGAGGCGGGTTCAGAAAAAAATGGACAAGCACCTCATGCGCGACGGCCGGAACTTGTCGCATGTGGGTGTGGGGGGTGGGTCCGCAAACCTTTGCAGGAATCGTATTTTCCGGCACAAGCACGCCAACATCGCCATCGTCGATCATGCGGAAAACAACATTGTCATCGCATTAAATGATGTATTTGAGGCGCCAATAGGCATTTACGTGGCCAACGGCGCCACAATACAGTCCATTGATGGTAATACGATTCACAGGGTTTTTGATGGTGTCTACGCGGAGAGAGGTGGCTGTGGGTGCTTTGAGAACAACAGAATTTACGACTGTGACGGGGTTGGGGTGTATGTATGCAGCCGTGCGAATCCCGAATTCACGAAGGGGGACGTCATTGAAGACTGTCGCATCAGCGGAGTTTTTGTGGATGCCGGAGGGAGGGGCGTATTTACCAGCGCGACCATCCGTCGCTGCATCGTGGGTGCGGTGGTGTACACCTGTCCGCCCATCTCCTCGACGGTGCGGCAGGGGGATTTTTTGCAGAGCGAGTTTGTGACCTCCGCCCCCTTGTTTAGGCAGTGCACGATTGAGGAGCATGACCTGCATGGTGTGCTGGTTCTCACGGTCGCGACGAGTTACTACCCCCTGCGTAACCCCTCCTACGGCGTCACCGGACACACGCCAAAGCTTTATGGCCTCATGAAGACCCCTGGAGTCTCCGTTTTTCCACAGTTTCACCAAAACACGATTCGCAACAATCGTCACTTTGGTGTTTGTCATGAAATGTTCAATTCCTCTGAGATGCAGGATGAGGCGCAAATTCCATTGTCTCAGAAATTCACCACCAAGGCCCGACGTTTAGCCACAAATATACATTTTCCACACCGTCTTTATCGGCGTGTGGGGATCGAACGCCGATCTCGTTTTGCACCTCGTGAATCCTTGCATGAGGCCTTGGGAACCTCGGCGGTCCTTTCGACGCATGAACACCACGAGGAGCGGATGCAGCGGCAGGTGAGTTTTGTGGAAAATACCATCACCAACTGCTCGATAGGTGTGGTGGTTGGTGGAAGTTGTCACCCGTTTTTACTGCGTAATCGTATAAGCCAGAATGCGTTCTTTGGCATGTTCCTACGGTTTCGGGCCAAGGCCATGTGTTTTGGGTGTGAGGTCACGGACAATGGTATGGCGGGGCTGTATGTTGCGCAGGGCTCATTTGGCACCTTTACTGGTGGAAAGATTTCTCGCAATAACGGCTTCTGTCGCCCGGATGGCAATCCACACGATCCGCGCTCCTTTGCCAGTCTTCCCTTTACGCAGTCAGGGCATTCTTCAGCGCTGAGCCCACCCGTTGCAAGCGACGAAAATCCACGTGATGCATTTAAGTCTGTCTTGGATTGCATGGAAAGCTACGCGAATATGGTGGCGGAAGGGTTGCATCTGCTATGCGAGCTTGTCTCCGCCTCCTCAGTGGGCCTCTCGCTCGCCTCGGGCATATGCCCCAGTGTTCCGATCGGGTCCGGTATGTCATTTGGGGCTGGGCTGCATGTAGACGGGTATGATCGCGGCTGGGCCGCCGACGGTGGCATAGGGGTGTGGATGGTGCAGGGGAACATGATGGAGATCAAGGACAACGTGATCGAAGGAAACCGCAACGTGGGAATTTTTTATTCACGTGACCTGCAGCAGCACCACCTGAATCTGGTGCAGTTTGTCGTGGAGTCTGTTGACGGGTTTCCGCGGATTCCAGGTGGTGAGGTGATCTCCGGCGCGATGCGGAGCCCGAGGGAGGCGGCGGCGCGGTGGGCGTTCTTCACCTCCACCGCTATGGACTCTGCGCAGGGGTCTCTCTCCACCACCGCCAACCACAGCTTCACGGAGAGCTGGCGCGCCCACACGCCGCCTCAAGGCCCCGATCTGCAAAGGCAGATGGAAGCCTCCTCTTATGAGGGAGATCGTCCGTACATATTGACGCGTCCAGCGATGGTGTCTGGCAATAGTATCGCGAGGAACGGGTCCGGCGTTGTCATGCATCTGCATCATGTGATGATGGCAAGTGCCTTGAGTGGAACAGATGCTGCCGGGGAGAAAGCGACGGAAGCGGCTGGGGAAGTGGGCAAAAAAAGCCCCAGCACCAACAGGAAGTCTGCTCGTCGGCCAAAGAAAAAGGCAGCGGCGAACGCGCTGAGCTTTAAGGAACGGAGAAGTTTTCTTGGCCCCAAGGCAAAGAACAAAGTCGAGGAGGCAAGCAAATCTCCTCAGAGCGAAGTGGTGGCGAGGCCCACACCCCCGCAGACTCCAACAAATGTACTCAAAGGAACGTTTGACGTCTCGATCAATATGGAAGCCAATCAAGTGTACGAAAACTACGGCGTTGGAATTATTTGCCTACATGTCGTTGAGGTCATGTGTGGCCATTACGTCAAGTCGCGCCTAGACTTGGAGGAGGCAGCCGCAGAGTACAATGATGTATGTATTAAAGTGACACTAAAACGTGAGCTGATGCGGCCCAAGTTGCAATTTGCCTTACTCGCTCAGAAGAATATGACGCGTTACGCAAGGCTTAGCTCGAATGAGGTCTACAGGAACGTGTCGGAGCAGCTGCAGGTGACCTCTCGGTATGTTGTGATCTCACAAAATTGCATTCGGACGTTACTAAATATAGATACCTTGCGGGAGCCAAGTGCATCCCTGTGTTCTTCCCAGGCGCTGTTGCGGATTCCGCTTTTTGCCTCTTTGATGTCCGCCGCACCGCCTTGTGGGCTTCTGATTGAAAATAATAGCTTCCGGGACAGCGAAAAGGGGCTTCATGTTGTGGGCTTTGTCGGTGGAGACTCTCTCCTGATGCGTCATAACACCTTTGTCAACATTGCAGGTGCAGCTATTCTGCTTCACGGTCATCTTGCCTCCGCCAACATAGGAGACGGCAACGTGTTTGAGGCAAACAGGGTGGGGATTCGCATCACAATGCCTGACAATGGTGTCACTGCGGAGGATATCGCCTGGATGCGAGCCATGGGGGTGCAGACGCACATCCATGCCAATCGCTTCTGTGCCCCGAAAAATGCATCTGTGATTGTCGAGGGCGGTGGGGCACCCTCTCCGGTATTTAAAGACAATCAATTTTCTAACCACATGAAGGGTTCCGTAGCGTTTTTTATTGCAAGTCCAAGCAGCCGGGCACGATTGGTAAAAAATGTGTTTTTTAGTAACTACATCCCTGTCATTATTACAAATAAAGCGGGCACGAGTGGGGAGGGGGGTGATAGTGTTGTTGTGGAGGGGAATCGATTCACTGGGAACTTTGTTGGCCTTCTGGTGGCCGATGGCGCGGCCCCGCGACTCGTCAACAACTTGTTTGAGAAGCACTACCGGACAGGTCTAGAAATCGTGGGTGAGGCTACAAAACCAATGGTCCAGCATTGCATCTTTGTGTCAAACAAACAGTCTGAGGTGGACACGCTCAACACAGAGTTGCTCCAGTTCCCTGAGCAAGGCCAAATTCGAGTCGAGCCTATTTTGGACATTGTGGCGACGATTGTCCCTGACAACAAAGCATGTTCGGTGACAGGCAAGAGGCTTTCATCTGGCGTTCTCATCAGTGGCGGGGGCGACGGAGGGACCATACATGAGTGTTTGTTTAAGGACAACGACATTGGCGTTGATGTCGTTGGGAACGTGGCCCTTGCAGAGGCGACAGCGCTTCCGGTTTCTGGGATTCAGCTGACCTCGTGTCTGTTCAATGAGAATAATGTGGCCGGCGTGTGGGTGCGTGGGGAAGAAGCAAAGACTGACAGACGCGCCGCTGTTACCACTTTTAACCTAAGCAGCAGCGGCAGCGATGAGGGGACCGTAATTGACAGCTGCTTCTTCATCAACAACACCAATGACGCTGTGGGCAAGGGCGACGTGGTCGCTGTGGACGCGGGGTATGCGGTGCTGCGGGGCAACTTGTTTTCGGGCTCGGTCCACGGCATGCGGGACGGCGCAGCTCTGTTTGAGCGAAATACGTTCTACATGGAGGCCGCCGATGTGGCGGTGTACCTGCACAAAGCAGCACGTATCCGCCTCATAGGCAACATCCTTCGCGGCCACAAAAACGGGATCGTTACTTCGCCCGCAGCCTGGGGTCATGTGGAGAAGAACTTGATTCTAAACCCCACCCGAGGTGTCTATGCCGCCCCATTCTGTCACACATTTCTTGTGCGTAACCGCATCATTAAGGCGAAGGACTGCGGCATTTTGGCGTACGGCGGCATCTTTACGGACAATGAAGTCTGCTGGAGCCCAATGGGTGTCATTGTGCAGAACCCGATGGGGTACAAAGATTACAGCAGTATACCCAATTCAGAGAAGACGGCGTTTGATGCGCTGATTTCGGAAAATCGTGTTCATTCATGTGAGGGGGACGGCATCTTGGTTGCTGGTGGCGCCCGAATTGAGGGCAACTGCGTCTTCAACTGCAAATACAACTTGAATGTTATTTGCCCACCAAACTCAAGGAGTGGCGCGGGCATTGCCATCATCTCTAAGAATTCCCTGTACGATGGCGAGGTGGGGCTGGTAATGGCAAAAGATTCAGAGTCCGTGATTCGCGACAACGACATCTTTGACAACAGCCTGTTGGGGGTGTGGATTAAGGCACATGCGTTGGGTACGTTGCAGGGTAATGCTATCTCCAGCTCTCTGCGCGATGGCGCCTTTGATGTGGAGCCGGGGGCGGAGGTGAAGGTGCTGCAGAACAACATACGAAATCAATTTTCTCCATCCTATCACAAGACGCTTCCGTTGCACCGTGAAAAGGAACGGCAAAGGGCAGCAGAGGCCTTGACTGGGGAACTCACGGAGTTAGATGGAGCGTTTCGAGAACTTCGTTTGCGGTGTAATTCCGTGGAAGTGACCCTGCGGGCTATATTTGACGCCTCAAGGGAGGGGAAACACAACTTGGATGGTTGTGGCGCGCTGAGTTCCATGACGTTGGCCGGTCATCCGGCCAGGGCGCTGCGTGGTTTATCAGAAACTGACAACGCTGTGGAGCCTTCTGGCCTCACCAAAACACGGGAGGTCTGGCGTTTTCCCATGAACAGAACGATGCCAATTTCCGCGATAAGGGCATCGCGGTCCGCGAATCGACGCATGAGCCAATCCACGTTATCTGCGCCAAAGGAAGAGTACCGGCACGTGCTCATCTACGTTTGCAACACACAAACGGAGACGCTGGCAAGCATGGAACTCGGCAAGGCGGTGGAGGCTGTTTTCACCTCCGTGTCTTTGTCATCAAATGTCATGTTCCGTGCCTCACTCGAGACGAAACCCAGCGGGTTTCACGCCTCCATTACAGCCCAAATGCCGGACATCATTGTTGTTACTGTGGCTGCGGGGAAAAAGGTATTTGATGCAGCAGAGTTGGGTGTTTTTTCCACCATTGAGCGCTTGTATAGCGCGGGCAACACAAAAAAGCACGGCAAAAACGGTGTCTCGTGTGTTTTTACGCTCCTTCCATCCGAGTGGAGAGCAGGCATCGAAAGAGAGGGGACCGTGGGAAAAGGCAACATCCCACTTACGGGATTAGAATACTTTGCCGCCGCACACAATCCCATGTACTTTAACCTTGCCGTCGCTGAGACATTCTCCGAACTGGTGCGGTGCCTGGAGACCGAGACGTCTAGTCCGTTGGTTCCGTGCCCAAGTATAAGCATCAGCAAGTTTCAGGATGCGAGTGTGGCAGTTAGGTCCTCACATGGAAGCCGTTCTTCCTTTTTCTCAACACCGCAATTACATCCAGTCTCTTTGCTGCCACGAAAGCTTTCGCGTGCGCGGTCCGTCATGAGTGCGGCGCCGAAGCTCCACGGGGACGGGTGACGCTGGGGGAAGTGGCAAACAACAACAAAGCAAAAAGGGGGGCATTGCACGTGACGTAAGGGCATAAATCTGGGTGTGGGCTGCACAGAGCGACATCGTTTAGGCAAGACCTGTTGTCCTCACTGGGGGGGGGGGGGGACAAGTTTTTTTCGGAGTGGGGCTCAAAGCGAGCCTGTCAACGCATGATTGACAGGCAGGGGATCGTTTTTTTTTATTCATTGGTCTAATGTCTTGCTGCCTTTTTATTGTTGTTGTGAGATTTATGTAGGTTTTTAGATGGGGATTATGTATGATGTGTATGTGCGTGCGTGCGTGCGTTTTTGTTCCTTTTATGTATATATATATATACATATATATGGAGTACTCTGTGAAAATTTAGTATCCGTTTTTGTCCTTTACAACGGCTTTTAACCTCACTGCGATAGCTTCCCTTTTTTGTAAATTATACATTTTCTTGACCTTTATCAGAGCAGTTTGAATATTTGTTTGTTTTGCTTTTTTTTTTGTTTCCTCTCTCTCTCTCTCTCTT